TATGTAGTGTGTGTGTGTGTGTGTGTGTGTGTGTGTGTGTGTGTGTGTGTGTGTCTGTGTGTGTGTCTGTGTCTGTGTGTGTGTGTGTATGTATGTGTGTGTGCGTTTTAATTTTACTTAAGTAGACGCGATATATCTACTTACCCATATCGAACAGCATTGCGTGCCGTCGTGTGCTTTCGAATAGCGCCTCTAGTCCCAGAAAGGGGTTCTTCTCCAAGGCCATACGGTATGAGGCAACGAGAAACTTTAGGAAGCCACGCAGTTCATTGAACTCCTTGTCCTTCTTGATGGAGCTATTTATAGAATGAGTTGTTTCACACCGTTTTAGCAATGGTTTAGAGTGCCATGCGGGATGTAGGGGTGCCAAATTCGGAATATATATCTTGGTAAATCTAAATGGGAACTTTGTTTCAAAATTCTATTCAAAAGTATAGAAAATCCAATTTACATTGCAAGGATGGCAGAGTAAAACATGCGACCTTATTTTCATGCGAAAATCCTCACTAGCAAACGTTTTCAAAGCAAATTTTGCTCGACGAAAAAACTGTACCGAAAATGAGAAGTTAAACCAGAATCAGTAGAAATAAACATGATCAGACGTCAGAACTATTGACAGAGTTGCAGTACTATGCACGACACATGCCATCCCGCAACACATTCTTCTCAACCTCGGTTTTAGTGTTACAATATCAACAGCTAAAAAGTATACTACAAAAGTGGAACCATACGTTTTGGATTCATGTGCGGAAAAGGACAGAGGAATATTAAAATGGCTTGAGCAAAATCATATCTCAACACATACGATTACCAAGCGAATAGAATTCCAGTCGTCACACACGACCTATAATACGTGAATACATAAGCGTATCTTAATGACGAGTATGTATACATAAGCGAATCTTAACGACGAGTAAATCGCAATATAAGCAAGTTCATAGTCTCGACATACCCGTCGGATAGCACCATGTTCATAGTCTTCAGAACCGACAGTCGGTAGAACAGTCCCTTCAGGTCACACCCCACGGCGATCCGGTGCAGCATCTTGGTCACGTAATGATTTACCATCACACCTAATAGCACAGAAGTATATATCGATATACATATATGAATGAGTATATTGCTAGTACAGAGGTATAAGCTGATGCATATATGAATAAGTATATTTGTTCGTACAGAGATATAAAAGAATGATGTATTCGAAAGTACAGATATATGATAAATTCGTTTGTACAATGGTATAAATCGATGATATATCCGTCCGTACAGAGGTATATATATATATATATATATACATATATATATATATATGTATTTATTCCATAGTTTAGAGATATAAGTAGAAATACATAACAGAGGTATAAATAGATGATAGATCCGGCTAAATGGAGCCACGGTGAACTTTGAATTAGATCGGAATTTTCCCCTATACTATTTCACGGTGATGGCGGCATTGCATATGCACACGTGATACGCTATACACAGACAAAGGGATCAATAGGCATGTAGTGAACTTTGGGGGAAGCAAGCGCTTTGTATTCTGGGCATGTGGTTTGTGTGAAAGCGTGGGTGCTCCGTACATGTCTGGTCATACACTTCGTCTGAGCCACTATAACCAGCCATGTTAAATCGTTGCTCTTGATTCCAGGGTACTGGAATCACAGCGCGATATAGACAAAATATGTGATCTAGGAATCAATGTCGTTGCACTACACATGTTTCAAGAAGTGTCGCGTGTAATGTGAAATGTTCACACAGCATTGCACATGTGACAACACAAAGAAGAAATATGATATAATTAACAGAGTTTCACATATACACTCAAACAACCCCGAAAATAAATATGTCCCCATCACTAACTATCCAGCGGCATGCATTTGGTACTGAACGTTTACCGTTTGTTTTGTAGCTTTCCACCAGTAGTAGATAGACGTTGATGACTTTGGGGTGGCAAAACTCAAGCAATTCCTTCTTGAAGTCGAACACAAGTTCGTTGTAGACTTGTGCATTCTGTGGTAGATTGACAAAATTGAATGTGATTTACATAGCGATTGTGTGTTTGCGTCTTGATGCACGACACTAACTGGAAAGAAAGACAACTTCACCTGTGAACAGTGCAATCTCTATAGAACAGCAAATATTGAAGACGTTGAATCCACCTTAAATGTGTATATATAACACAATAATATATATA